ATGGGCAGCCCAGAGGGGGGACGGGAGGGGGATGTGGAGGTTACCCATTCAGGAAATCACCTTCTCACCTCCTTTCTCCGCCCCGCCCTGGCCCTCGTGGCCTCTCTTCTCTTGGCCCACCCAGCTCCTCCGCATATGTTCTTCCCTACCTCACAGGGGAAAGTAGGAGCAGTGAGCTGAGTCTGGGGGAGGGAGAGCTGTGGTGACATCAGTCACCTGGGACACTACAGGGGGGAGCAGTGGAAGGTGGGGGCGGGGAACGGGGCTGAGGCTGTATGGGCAGCCCAGGAGGGGGGACGAGAGGGGGATATGGAGGTTACCCATTCAGGAAATCACCTTCTGACCTCCTTTCTCCGCCCTGCCCTGGCCCTCATGGCCTCTCTTCTCTTGGCCCACCCAGCTCCTCCGCATGTTCTTCCGGCAGCAGGATGAGATTCGGCGTTTGAAAGAGGAGCTGGCGCAGAAGGACATCCGCATTCGGCAGCTCCAGCTGGAACTGAAGAACTTGCGCAACAGCCCCAAGAACTGTTAGCTGTCCGCGGGGCTGCTTTCTACGCCGATCTCTCCATTGTTTCTACTCGTCCCTTAACTCCCCCTTATCCTGTGACCCCAGAGACAGCGCCTGGAGGGGAGCTGGGGAGAGCCTGAGGGCCCCGCCTGCCACAGCAAGACTGGAAGCTGATCTTTGACCTCTTGACCTCATGCTAATAGGAGTCCCCAGGCTCTCCTGGAGGACCCCGCTGGCAGCCCCTTTTCCTGCCACCTCCAGAATCTCGGCTTCCCCCTGCTGGGCAAAGCACGGATTCCCTGAGGGGTGCCCTCCGTGGACCAGGGAGCAGAGGAGGAAAGCAGACCCCAGTAGACTTAGAACTGGAACTTTTCCCTTGCAAAGGAGGCTGCTGTCAGGACATCTCAGCACCCACTGCGGGGCTCCCCGCATCCCTGATGGACCACACTGTAAGGGCTGGATGGCAGGTGTCACCTCTTCTCCCCTCCCCTCCCCCCTCTGCAGCCCTGGAAGCCAGATTCCCCTGACAAGGGTTGCAAGCAGCCTCGCTCCTTTCTGTCTCTTGCCCCCTCTCTCTTGTCTTCAGGGAATTAAGAGGATTGCTCGCCAAGGCCATAATGACCCCTTGCCTTCCCAAGATTCTCTTCAACGCTCTTGCAATACCCTTTTCCCATTTGATTTGGGAGGCAGGCAGGGTAGGGAATGATGTCATTTCACAAGTGACAGAACTGAGGGTTGCACTGGAGAGAAATGACTTACTCAGTCACCCAACAGGTCAACAGTGGACCCGGGACCTCGGGTGTTCAGAACATGCCAGGGCCCTTTCCACTGCATCAAGATGCCAATCCCTGGGGGCTTCACCGGTGCCCAAGTATCTGTGGAGAATGAAACTGGAAGCCACTTCTACCGTCTGCCCAACACCAGTAGTGCCAATGTGTCACACTGCCTAGTTGAGGCCCCTCACACTCGGTGCCCCTCCATCTCCCTGGCCCCCGTGCCCTGCCCCCGCCCCAGGGGACTCCCTCTCAGATGAGGCCTCTTCGTCCTGGAAGTGAGGCTGAGGAGGGTGGAGTCAGGCCCTGGGGAAGGCAGAGCAGGGGTGTCTGCTTCAAGGGGTGGATGATGCTCTGTGTGTCTCTCGCCGCTGTTATCTCAGCCACTCTCAGCCTTACGCTTGTAGAATGACCACAGTCCCTCCCGTCGGTATTGCACTTTAAAGTTTACACAGTTCTTTGACACATCGGATCTCATTTGAGTCTCGCATCCGCTCCAGGGGTAGGGAGCACTCCTTCCATTCTGCAGATGAAGAGACTGAGAAGTGGCCTGAGGTCACAGGACTCTTGAGACACCACCTTTCATCTGGTCTACACATTCTCTTTTTGTTTCTTTTCTCCATTTCCCACTACCCACGGTGTCCATAAACACTGTTCTTCTCAGAAAAGTCACAGTTTGGGGTGAGATCTGGCCCGGGAATCAAGAAATGGGTGTCCATCCTTCTCTGGCTAGGATCTACTAGACACATTGTGCTCCACACCTGCTTTGCCCATGGCCACCGCAGAACATCCACCCACAGAGGTCAGGGTTCCCTCCAGGCACCCTGGGCAGGGAAAGCCCTCGACCCCTGGGGTTTTCCTCCATGACCTTTCCACCCTCTGGGCCGGCTGAAGCAGGGTCTCCTCTCCCCCAGCCCCCTGCAGCTAGACAGTGTTAGCTCTCATCTCCTCCTCCCCACACTTCTTGAGCTTTTTTTCTCCCCCATTGACCTTTGTGGTCTTTCTGTGATTATTTATGCTGCCTCCCAAGGATAGAATTGAAATAAAATGTTTTCAACTTATCAACCCGGGCATGGCCATGTCACTGCACCCCAGGTGCTTCCCGCTCTTGGTTACCACGGTATCTTGATGGCCAACTCCCCAACCCAGCGCCTTTGCCCTTCTGGGACAGCAGACCACATCTGTATCTGCGGATGTAATTTCACACTTTCATTCACCTCCGAAGGCTTCTGACTCTCAGCACTATTGACATTTGGAGCCAGATAATGCTTTGCTGTGAGGGCTGTCCTGAGCACTGTAAGATGTTTAGCAGCATCGCTGGCCTCCACCAATCAGATGCCACAGCAACCCCTGTCCGATTGTGATAAACAAAAATGTCTCCAGATATCTCCCAGTATCCCCTAGGGCAGTGATGGCGAACCTATGACACGCGTATCAGAGGTGACACGCGAACTCATTTTTTTGGTTGATTTTTCTTTGTTAAATGGCATTTAAATATATAAAATACATATCAAAAATTTAAGTCTTTGTTTTACTATGGTTGCAAATATCAAAAAATTTCTATATGTGACACGGCACCAGAGTTAAGTTAGGGTTTTTCAAAATGCTGACACGCTGAGCTCAAAAGGTTCACCATCACTGCCCTAGGGTGTCAAAATAGCCCCCACTGTTCTACAATTAGTCAGCAGGCATCTGCTCTGTATCAGCCCTGTGTTGAGATCTGGGGGACACCAACATTTCACACTGGAATGATATTTCGGTTCACAAAGCACTATCCCATGTACTTGACTGTTGATCTTCATTCACAGCAGCTCTAGGTATAGTCTAATATTGTCCCCATTTTCAAGAAAGCAGTCAGGTTCAGAATGGTGGCATGCTCAAGGTCATTCAGCTGGTGTAGTGGGGAAGACATACAGGGATGTGGCTCTAATGAGCCAGAGCCCGAGAAGGCACGTGCTCCCAGCCTCCAGCCAGTCTTAGTGCTGGGCCAAGTCTGTCCTGGGGGGAGGGCTGGGGCCCATCATAGACAAGGGACACTGAGCAGCCACTGGGACACCATCATCTCTCGCCAAGCCAGGGTTGTCATAGAGCAGAGTTGTCAGGCTGCAAAGTGGACAGGCACGTAGCAGCGTGGACACCACAGAAAACTCAGAAGAGCCAGAGGAAAGCAACAAAAGCCTTAGAAGAGCGGGCTGGAGAGGAAATGAATCAAGAGCTGCCAGGAGCAGTGGGCAAGACACCGGAAACTGGGAGGGGTTGCCCCAGGCCCAGCTCTGCCTCTAACGGGTGTGTGACATTGAGTCATTCACTTCTCTCTGGCCTCACTTTCGCCATCTCTAAAATGAGGGGCTAAGACAGCGTTAGGGTCCCTTCCTGGTCTAACACTTAAGTGTCTGTTATACCAGCAGTTAGGAGAATGGGACAAATCCCCCAGACCACCCACAGCCTAGCACGAGTGGTGCAAAGGAGAAGTGTAACAGGAGAAGGGAAACGGCAGGACGGCTTCCTCCAGGGTGTGGTGCAGAAAAGCACTTTTGCTAAACATGCATTTGAGCAAGGACACTCCCGGAGTTTCCGCCTGATCTGTTCACAGAGTCCTGAGCTCGCAAAGTCACTGAGAGTCTGGCCTTCATAAGCTCCTTCCGGGAGGCTGAGGAAGACGGAGCTGGTTCCTTGACTGAGGCTTCTCTGCCTCTGACACACACACACACACAAACACACACACACACACACACACACGCACACACACGCACGCACACGCGCACACACAAACACCTACTCACATGCACACATACACCAACCACCGCCTGGACTCAGGGAGCAGGGAAACGGACCAGGTGACCTGTCTCATGTGTGTCTCAGTCCCACCCAATCCCCAGTTCTGAGCTTAACTGGGCAGCTCTTTAATCATTACTCATTACGGCAAATTGTCCAAGATCAGGGTCAAATGTGGTGTCCCCCCAAGTAGCTCGTTTTCCCAACTGCACTTGTTAAGTATGGACAGTTCCACCTTGGCTGTCCGTGTGTCCTGTGGTTCTCCATGTACTAGAGTATATCATGCCTGGTCTGTTACGCTGATCCTGCTGCCAGTTATGGCCTCGCTCACCACACTGCTTTGGTTATTGTGACAGTGGAGGACAGCAGGTCCCTCTGGCTCTTTGAACCTGTCCTTACTGCTATGTTCCCCACCAGGTGCTTGCTCCCCTCTTTTCTCCAGTGAGGACATAGGCTAAACTCCTCTTCTATGGGAGGTCCTTCCTGGTTATGCCTTGAACCCCTTGGCCTGCCCCGCCCCCCCCAACACCTACTTGGATTTTCAACTCAGTCTAACACACTAGAGTAGCTGGATCTACTCAGTCCTGGGTGCTGGGAACTCAGAGACAGGAAAGAATCAGGCCTGTCCTTGAGGGGCCCTGGTCAGTGGTCATTCCATGGGCATCGTGTCATCTAGCAGCCCCTGGAGTGAGCTTTACCCTCTGGCTCAGTGTGGAGTAGGCAGTGGTGGGATCTGCTGACTCCCAGGTTCTCATCCAGCCAGCCTCCTGAGATCCCAGGATGGACCTGGGCATTTTCAGACTCTCTCCTGGTACTGGGCAAACACCCCAGACTGCCAGTGGACTGTGCCAAACGTGGCAGCTTCCTCCCTGTGGGCAATGACTTCATACTGAA